TACTATTTTCACTTAAATTCTTTATCTTTAGTTTTAGTAGCTAGAGTCTGTAATGTGTTTTACAATTTATTTTTTGAAGTAACATCTATTAAAGTTTCTAAAATAAGAAAAATCAAGAATAAAAAAACTTTTGATCTGATTTTGGGTTGTCTATTTTAGAAATATCTTGAGTAGAATGTTTAACCAAGTTAAACCTGGTTTCTTCTACCACCTTTGATTTTTTTTATTGAAGCAACAATGTATGAAATTTTATAGGTTTCTGGTAAGCATAAGTATAAATCAACATCTGTGGACACTATATTCTAAGTTTGCTGCTAAATACCCAATTCCATCCTTCAACATATGATTGACATCTTTACCTGATCTAGATATCCTACTACACCCGCATCCCTCCCACAACTTTCTGGTAACCACTGATATGGTGTCATAGTTTAAAAGTTTATTTTTATTTTATTTAGTTCATTTATTTGCTTAAGCACTGAAGCACATATGAGAAAACTCATATAGTGTTTGTCTTTCTCCATTTGACTTATTTCACTAAATGTAATAACATTTTTTTTTTTTTACAATTGGCAGGATTTCATTAAAAAAACTGGTAAATGTGAGGATTTTATTTTGTGTATCCTGCATAACTTCTTTAATCAGTCATTTCTTGATGGGGACTTAATGTTGTTTCCAATGAATTTGGGGCAGAACCTTTTATTATTTTTTAAATCTTCTGTGTGACACCAATGTTCCTTTCAAACCTGTGACCCTAGTTGATATTATCATAAAACCCAGTACTCTTACATCTTTATTTATTTTTAATGTATTAAAACTTTTATTGAAGTATAACTGATATACAAAAAATGGACATATTCAATGTATTCATCTTAATGGGTTTAAATATATGTATATACCCATCATATTATCACCATCAAGAAACTAAGCAAACTCATCATTTCTAGAAATTTCCTTTTATTTTTTTAAATTTTTCTTTTATTCTTTTTTCTCTTTTGGGGACATACTTTCATCCTATTACTTTCCACTTTGAGTAAAACCTTCTGTTTTCCCTTTCTACTTCCATTTCTTAATCTCAACCTGAGCATTATCCCACTTCACAAAATTTCCAAACTAGCATAAGAGATCCATTCCTGTTGTAACTCTTCCCTTTTTCTTCTATACTTTGCTCATTTCCTTCCTTAATGTGCATGTCTATGTTTATCATTATAATGATTATTTTAGTCATTTCCCATTATATCTTTAGAGAACTATTACAATTTTGGTAGAAATATGTTTACTTCTTCCATGAATAATCACCTCAGTTGGACTGAATATTATTGCATAAGTGTATGGATATATATGCCGTAGATTCTTAAACATTTGTTTATTTACTATTTGTGGCTTTCTCCGCTAGATTAAAAGCAGTATCTAAATAGGGAAAATGTTTAATTTTGAGTGCTTACTCAAATAGCTTGCATATAATAGGCTCCTCCTGAAAGTGCTTTTTATCTGGTTATTATGAGATTGAATACATTTTATATTTAATATTCATTTTTTATTTACTTGTTTAGAGAGCTTTTGCTTTTAGCATTTATGTAATATATGACAAGACACTTGGCATTTTCTCATGAATATTTACATATTATGGAGCTTAAAATATACATTATAAAATTAATGTCACATCTATCTTCTTACTATTTAATGTCCAGATATTTATTTAAAATAGTCAAATGTGTTTATATTTTTCTTTATGATTTCATATATTAGTTACATAATGAAAAAGTCCACCCCCATGTAGATCTACATAAATACCCCATATTACTTCTTTAAATATTATAGTTTATTCTTCGTAGATGTAATGATTCAAACTGAACAGTATCTACAGCAACCTGTGATTTGAAAGTTTAATATTCACCCAAAAATTACATTTTACAAACAATATTTATTGAGAAATACTCCCTTTTGCATCAAATAGATGTTTTTAAAATATTACATTGTTTGACAGGATTACATATTATTTATTTCTCAGGATTCCATGCAAATGTCTAGCTCCTTTTAGCAGACTTTATGTACTCTGCCCCACTTTCAGGAAGACTTGGAAAAGAGACTCATTTTTAAAGCGTATTTCTATCAGTGCATTTTTTAAATGTCTCACATCCATTGTTTTTGTTACTGTCTCCATCAAATATACTTAGTTTGTAGGAAATATACGTAGTTATATACTCTTCTATTTTCAAGAGTACTGTTTACCATACAATAAGTAGATCAGTAAGTACTTGTGAGTGTATATCATGAATAGTAGAGTTATAATTGATCACCAGTTACACAGCATGTAGGCACCTTACAATTAACTTGTCATAATGGAATTCATATTTTTCTCAAAAACCCGGGCCTTCCTGGTGGTGCAAAGGGTTAAGACACAGCCTGTGAAGCTGTCCGCAGCCTCTGCAGTACCCCACATGGTGCAGCTGACCTCTCCTGTCTCCCTGCTGCACCCCTCAGCAGTGCATTTCAGTAGATCTGCCTGTTCTGTTCCCCGCTTTGTCTTTGATGAATCCTCTCACCCTCCACACCTCTGGCCTGTACCCCAGCTCTTGTGTGCATACATAAATAAATCTTAAAAAAAAAACAACTATTTCTCCTCTAAGATATTTAATAAACAATACCACACAGTATTAGTCACATTTCTAAAGCTGAGAAATGTGACTCCTGCTTGTTTTTTGATTTGTCTTTATCTCTCACCTTATTGGTCTCCAAATATCACCTATCATACCTGTCATTTCCTGTGTAAACCACCCACTTTGCACCATCTCCAAAATCATTGTTTTATTTCAGCCATCACCTTTGCTTGCCTGGATAAAAGCAACAAACCTTTAAGTAGACTTTCTTCTCTAGTTCTACAACTTTACTATGCTAACACAGAATTAATTTTCTAAATTATCATCATGCAATTTCTCTTGAGTACCACTATTTACTATGTTCATGTCTAAATTCTTATATTATTTAATTCATTGAATATAAAACTGCTGCACCTCCCCCTGCAGTGACCTTTAGGGTTAACCAGCCCTAGGTCGGGCTGGGCAACCAGCATGCAGGGGAGAACAGCATTACACCCTGAAGCAGAGGAAGTTCAGCAGAAGTTCCCTGAAAAGGCAGAAGCTTATCAAAAGATAACGACCACCAAGAACCACTACAAGAATGCTAAAAATCTTATCCCCTCTTTCTAGTACTATGAACTTTAATCCCTTATCTGTCTTTCTAAACTTCCTTCTTTCTTCAATAATGGTCATTGTTTGTTATGTAGATCACCTCCCTGATGGTGATAGACTGAGCCCATGGGCAAGCTAATTTCATTGATATTCATTCCTGTGCTTTTGGAAAACATATATATACTGGTCACAAACTCAAAGAAAATTACACTCAGATTTTCACTCTTGAAGTGTGTCTGTTTGTCATTTCTTTCACCGATGCCCTGACCACCCTGCACGCTTCTCTCAACCCTGAGGTGGCCTCATCGTCTACTGCTGTGCTGGTCCGCGGCATAAAACAAATATTTAACTTACTATGATCCCTTGAGCTGAAACCTACTTGACGCAAGTAAAGCAAATTATTTAATGTGTACCCTCCAGTTCTGACACAATAACCAAACCATAACAACCATTTTGCAGGTGCTTCTGAAATAAATTAACACATGGAAATACTGATATATATATATATATATATATATATAAAATAAATATATAATCATTTAATTTTTTCTTTTCATAAAATTCAATTTGCTAATGATGCTGACCCTCTTTGATATTTTGGAACAGTGTGTCCACATACATAATAGTTAATGACAAAAATGATGTATTTGTGAAACATGCATCTAGAGAAAAAATATAAAATAAACTGGTAATGTGATAGCATGTGAGCAGGTATATGATATTAAATGTACAGAATGCTAAAGAGTCTATCACACATTTAGCTAACCAAGTCTTGTAGGGTCAAGAAAGACTTGGGAGGGTCTCCCCGGTTGCGCAGCGGATTAGCGCTGGGTTGCAAAGCTGCCCGCAGCCTCTGCAGCGCTGGTTCGATCCCCGGCTGCTCCCCGGCCACTGGAGGAGGGTCCCACAAGGCGCGCAGACCTCTCCTGCCGCCCGCTGCTCCCCTCAGCAGTGTACTTCGGTCCTTCTGCCTGCTCTGCTCCCCGCTCTGGCTCTGGTGAATTCTCTCACCCTCCCGTGCTTCTGACTGTACACACTGCTTGCATAAATAAATAAATAGATAGATAGATAAATAAATAAATAAATATTAAAAAAGAAGAAGAAGAAAGACTTGGGAGAATAGGAAACAATCTAATTTGAGATCATTGTAAATTTTTTTTTTTTTTTTTTACCCAGTGAGAGATGGAGAGGAATGAAAATTTAAAACAAGATTGGAGAATGTGCAGAAAATCACTTTGAGAGAATGAAAGTAATTTTTCATCTCAAAGAATGCATATTAGTATGACTAGAAAATGGAGCACAGATGGACGATATGAGAAGTAGTAGTGTCTGGATATTTTTCTGTCCTTTTTTTTACCATTTTAAAAGACATGTTTCTTAGGAAAATGAGAAAGAAAAAGAGGGTGACTTGCATAGTCATAGGTGGGCAGGAGAGCTGCCCTCTTTTAGCTCGTGTACCACGTTATGGGTGTGATCTTATTGAAGCACAATATTTAAGTAGGAAAGCATGGAAGGGCTGAATTTGGGTTTTTATTAGGTTTCCCTCTAGAAATCAGCTCTGAGATGGAGTTATGTCTTCAGGAAGTTGTGACGTGTGAGAGTTAGGGAAGATTTATACAGACTAAATTCTTTATCCTGCTGCAGATGTAGGGAAAGGATGACCTTTCAGCATTTTCTAAAGTAAGGAATTTGGCCTTTTTATCCTTCCAATTAGATTTGTGAGCCTATTCTTTGGCTGAAGGCAATTAAGGAGAAAAGGACTCAGCTTTGAACCCTCAGCAGCCTCCCTGATGGCTGGGGAAGGAGCACCTCAGTCTTTAGCTGGGATGCAGAGGAGGAGCTCCAGGTGATGAACGTGGAGTGGAGTTTTGTATTGTGCTTCCTGTGTGATGCTCAGATCCACTCACTCAATATGATGTGAGAGGCTTCAGTCAATGTCATGGAAATTAGAGCCAGGGTGGAGCTTCACAAGTATTTCAGTGAGAAAAGGGAGTAAGGAGCTGGATAGCTGCATTATTATTTCAATAGGACATACACTGTGTCCAGCAAAGATTAACTTAGAGAAAGGAAGTTCCTTGTCAGAAAACTCTTGCCAGGAAGATACTCATCTGTGAGGACTCAGCAAGAAATATTCCCCACAACAAGGAAAGATCTTCTGTTTTGCAAGGAAAGTAGAAAACGTCATCTGTCAGGTAAGTTCCAAAATGAAAAAATAAAACTAGAGAGAGAAGAGAGCAAACACAGACAGTTCTTTCATGAAATACTGCTATAAAAGAGAATAAATAAATATGTATCTAGAATAAAGAAAAGATGATAAATTAATGACATTTTTAATTCATATTTAGCTGTAAGAATAGATGGGGTAGATGTGTGGAAACTGGCTGTGAGTGACACAGAACTGCAGAAACTATAGGTATTTTTTAGAGGAGAGTGGTGGTTACAATGACTAGAGACCAGAAGTGAAGGGGCAGTTCATAGAACTGATCTGCCATTAGCTTTTACACTGCATTTGATGTTGAGGAACTGTATATACCATGACATAAAATCTGTGCTACTGGGATTTATTTTTTTCTGAGATCTTTTTTTTTAATTTATTTATATAAGAACTGGGGTACAGGTCAGAGGTGCAGGAGTGTAAGATAATTCACAAGAGACAGAGTGGGGAGCAAAACAGGCAGACAGACCGAAGACACTGCTGAGGGGGTCAGCCAAAGACACTGCTGATGGGAGCAGCGGGTGAGGGAGCAGAGGTCTGCCACACATGTGGGTTTCTACCTGGCTGGCTGGGAATCGAAACCGTGCTACAGAGACTGCAGACAGCTTAACAGCATGGCTTTCAACCCGCTGCGCCACCAGGGAGGCCCCTAAGATCTTTGTTTAATATTAACATACAAACATAGAACCAAATGGATGGATTAAGTCAGTATGAGGATTTACAAAATATGTGAGATTGTCCAGTAGTCGACTGTAGTGATTGAAGTATTGGAGAAAATAGAACTGGATCCTGTCTTAACTTGGAAGGGAAACAAATGTGGAAATACTGATAAATTGAGAGACTATCTAGGGTTTGAAGTACTGGACATTCAATGAAATCAAAGACTGTATGACATAATTTTTATAAAATCACACATTGAACATACTAATTTTCTTCTTATTAATGGTAACTACTACAACAGGTCACCTAAATGCTTAACGAAAAATAAAATTAAATAACCTCCTTGTGTAGATGGATAAATGGCTATATGATTCAGTTCATCTATAATATTGATTGCACTAGTGGAAAAAGAAGAATTCTGAAAGTCATTGTACTGGAGACCTGCTAGATTACACCTAAGTGACTCAAAAGATAAACATGACTTGGACATTACAATGAACTTGACAGGGTTATAACTTTTATTTCAAGGGTTATAATTTTTATTACTATATATTCTTCATTTTTATAGTTCAAGTAATAATAACTTGTCTCATCAAAGAGTATAATTTAGGATAATTTAATCTGAATTACTCAGGAAAATGCATATCTAATTGCATTACACTCTTCAATATCTACTTGCTTTCTCTGAAAAGATATTAAGTATAGCAAATTTGGGCTGAAAACTGAAAAAAAAAAAAAAACTATCATGGGAATAGACTCTGTAGGTGTATTGGGAAAAAAAGATAAATTGAAATGATTTTTATATCAATTCCTTTATGGTAGGACTATTATTTCATTTACTGGTTACTCATGCTAACTATGGAATAAAATCTTGATGTGTCAATCACTATCAATGACATTAATGGAATATGATGGAATTTGACAATGATTGAGTGATAAAAGTGAATAAAATGAGTAGTTGATGATAATTTAGATTTATAGCAAAGAAGTTATAATAATTATATACCCACAGTTTGCTCCACACTGTCAATCAGCTCTGTGTTTTATGATGATAAGAAATTATCACATTTTTAGAAGGTTCACACTTAAACAGGATACATAGTGCACTTGTCACACAATTTTGGATTTACTTAAACACTTCCATAATTTCACTAAGCTTATCTTTAGTTATGAATTAGATTCAAGAATAACTGTTCATCATTTATCACAAAGATCTTTTCACAATTATTCTTTAGGAACTTGCTGGAATATTAACACAGAGTGTAGTAAAATGTCTTCTTTCATTACACTAGTTTTGTATCATTTCTGCTTCAATTCTAAAAATGTATGGGAAGTTCACATTTCCTCTAAAATGACTATATGATCCATTAAGTTCTACCAATATGTATCAAGTGTTGTAAGCCCAGAAATAATCTGTGATTTTGTTCAATGGGTTTACAGAATTCTTTTAATTGGTGTAAATCAATCATGAGTGGAATACTTCTGTCATATACCACAATTCTACATTGAACTTCTCATGAAATTATCTATCATCTTGCTTCTTCATGTTGGACTACTCCATTTGTGCATTTATTTATCAAAAATTTTTGAATATCTAAAATGATCAAATCATTTTATTAGACACTTTGGAAAATATGACAAGTAAAATAGCTGTAGTCCCTACCTTCTGAAGCTCATGCCTTAGATAAAAATTAATAGGAGTGGAAATTTAAAAAGTAGAAAAAGCCATGAAGGAGAAGTAGATGCTACTATCAGATAATACAATTTGGAAATATGAACAAAATCAAGAAGATTCAGGTAAGGACTAAGGCAAGAAAGGGTCAACTTTTGGGAAATTCAATGATGGAAATAACACAACTTTCATGTGACCACTCAAAGGTGAGAATGAAATGACTTGAAGGTTGAGTGTGAAATGAACTTAGAACTGTAGATAGCATAATGTGCAGGAAGACTAAAAAACAAAAATATGTTTACATAGCAATGAGTCAGAGGTGGAGGGAAAGTTACACATTGCCTGATATGCCCTGATATAAAATTTTATGGCTATTAAAAAAAGGAAGAACATGGAAAGACTTTATATGTTTTATAGACTAGATGAGAAAATCATTTTTCCTTATGAAATAACTGTCATGGTTGTATGAGAATAGAAGAGAGCTAGAAACAATGGAAGCAATTTGGCAAATGTATTACTGAACTAGTCACAGGAGGATAAAGCTCTTTTGTGTTTAGGTGATGCAAATGGAGAGAAACAGGTTTGGGTTCATGTTCAGGAGATACAAAAGACAAAATTGAAACAGGGTAATGGAAATGGATCATTTCAGGATGATGTCTAAGTATTGGAGGGATAATGTTGATTTCATTAAAGAGAGTAATCAGCAGAAGAACCACAATTGTGAAAGAAGTTAATGAGTGATTTTTTTTTTTTTTTTTTATATACTCAACTTAAAGTGATGGTGAGATGTTTAAGGAGGGATATAAAATGAGGTAAGAGCAGTTTTTAAATGAGATTTTAAAAATCTGAACATGATTGTGTCAAACAGGACACGGAAGGATACAATCAATTTAGAAAATGCCATGTTTTATGCTATTGTTGATGTACTAGAGAGATAATCCTTTATATTCAATAATACAGAGGTTCCTATTAGCCTTAGCAGGATTATTGGGGGAAAAAAAGGGACCTAAAGTTGTTCAGAATAGGTGAAAATTAGCATTTGTACATTCTATTGCCACTAACACTGATGTCTGTTACTAGTTTGTCTAGTAGAATGGAAGATTATTTAGGTATGGTGTGACTAATATCTTGAACATGTGTCTTGCATGTAGTGTTAAGTGTGCTATATGTCACATTCCAAGATCACTGTGCAATAATTTGATGGGGAAATATACATATTATGATATCACAGATGAGAAATCTAAAATTCAGATGTTTTCCTATTGTTTTTTTTTTTTTAAATCTTAGTCCCTAAATAAGAGAACTAAAATTTAGATATTTCTGATTTTAAGTAGTTTACCTACATTATGCCTGTTGGCCACTTTGTCAAGGAAACAGAACACCTGAAATATTGTTAAAGTATCAGAAGTTGATATTTTAATGTATAATAACATACATAATTGGTCAATTATTATTATCCCTACATTTCATAGATATAAAACTATCTGAGCATGTCCATTTTAAGTAGAGATCAGTTCCTCATTGCCATCCTATAAACAAATATACAATAAAAGCCACGTCACCTACTTACGGTAGATGATACGCAATATCCCATACATTACATGTTAATGACTTACTAGTAGTAGTCTTTATTATTATGGAAAAAATGATAGGAATTCTCAGGTATTTGTGGCCAAGGCTATTAAAATAAAAATTTCAAAGGATTTAAATCCCACTTATCATAAGGTTCCTGAGCTTGACTTACTGACTAGGGATTATGGCTTTATCATGACATTTTTGTGATTACATATTGAAGATGGCAATAGAAGCACTAAATCACTTCTGATGACCAGTCCAGAAATATCCACTTCTTAGTTGCTTAATCTTTCTTATAATCCCATTTGACAGATGATGCTTAAGTTTAAACACCATCTTTCATGATAACTTTGATTTTTAAAGGAATATGCATTATAAAAGTGTAACAATCTAAAACTTTTCTATGTACTTAAACAGGAAATGTGTTATACTTCAGATGTTATTTGTATGAATTCAAAGAAAAATATTTAGCAGTTTTTGATATAATTCAAATTATGGTTAAATGAATGTATTTTCAGTAACCTGTACTATGAAAACTATTCCATGCACCATACATAAGTGTTAAATCAACATATTATACAACTCAAACTTACACTATGCTATATCTTAATCATATTCCAGTTTTAAAAAAAGAGATGAGAATTAAGATTTGAGGGCAGGAGCAAAGTAGCCCCTTTCTAAGATGAAAAAAAAAAATGATGAGCAGAAGATACTAGTTAGCATTTTTTCTTTTATCATTACTATACAAAATATGTTTCCTTACTATTGCATTAGTGATTCCAGTAATTCAAAGACTGCTAATGGGTTTTCTCCAAAGGTTTCAAGCACTAACTATACTTGGGAAACTGAATTCTGAAAACTTGAAAATGGTTAGTTTGCCTCTAACATTATCTCATTCACATGGAATTCTAAATACTAAGACTGGCCTCTTGAAACTAATTCAGTGGTTTTCTCAACTGAACTTTTGGTGATGGATGTTATGTAGTAACTTTCATCTGAAAGGGCATGAATCTGTACATGTAAAGCATAACAAACCAACATTGCCTCAATAAAAAAAAAATACTGAATAA